ATATTTTTCAACCCACTGCAATAAAGTACCTCATGCTGTAAGCATGCCAAACATCTCTCAAATTAATTAATTGATGATGCTTTATAGTAAAATTCATTGTTTTGAGATACCTTGCACTAGATTTCCATCCAAAAGTGTTAAATACACTGTAAATTTAGTGTTTTTCTACTTAATGGAACACATGAGCTTTAACTGGTTATAAATTGATAAACCACAAATAAACACTCCTTTGCAACCTTCTCATACATTTGTCTAAGTCCATTTCAATTTCGTTGAACTCATCCACCCAATGATTAGAAAGAGAATATAATTTCTTTATTAGTGCAAACTTAAAATATAATCATAATCTTCTTAAATCTAAATCCAAAAGTACAACATTACTTTCTTGAGTGTCATATTCTAGACATGATTACCACTATCCCACTCCTTAAAAAATATGTCACCACTTAACTACCATAATGCTGTGCATAATAGCATAATCTATAATGCAATTTGACTACATATATTTAGTGCATTTTTAATTGACTAATCACCTACTCAGCTACAATCTTAGTATACTGCATATAGTTGTAGTTGAAATAGTTGTCTTTGACAAACTTCACTAGAAATGAAGTGAGCATCCCTACAGTAATACCATCTACACAATACCTTCCTCGCTATCACACTCACTCTCTAAGCTCACCAGTTCATCCTCCACACCATAACATTTGGGGCATTTTAGCAAACCAAAAATGTGACTTGGATATCCCCTTCTGCACAGTTAAGCATGTTGATATCAAAGCATCGGGGCACTGGTTTTACATGCCATTGAGATTGATTGATTGTGACCTCATAGCCTCATAGCCTGGAATGGAATGAAAATGCCAAAGAAAAGATTTTCTGGAAGAACTTTGAAATTTATCTATCATCATGTTCCTCATCTCAGCTGGGTGGTAGAACACATATCCCATCTCAACTCCACTCTTTCGACTTGGCCACACAACTTGCAAGCATTGATAAATTTGTTGTTCAGAGTACTGGGCGAGATGTTTGAGCCTCTCACCACTGTCAATCTTTGGGATGTCTGCTCCAGATCCATACTAATTGCCCATTGATATGGACCCAGAGAGCACTCAAAGCGCTCTCTTTTCCTTCGTCGATCTGGAAAAATTAGCTAAGCCGTAAGAAGAAAACAGAAGAAAAACAGACATACTTCAATGAATTCATATCCTGGTGCTTCAAGTAAGTCGCATAAGTCAAGTGTGTCTATGTGTGTGGAGAACTTACCACCAACGACCAATGTCACGGATGCGCTCTCGATCCATGGTGAGATCTTAATACGCAGAGGAAGGAGATACGAAACAGGGCTTGAGCTGGATTCCCGAGCTCGCTTGGATACTGGGACGAGATGTTTGCACCCACTAAGTTTGTGCAGCTTATGTGATCCTCATTGCCACACGTCGGGATGTCCACGGGAAAATTATTGACCAAGAAAAGCAGATTTTTTATGAATGGGCGGAGCTCCCCGACGACGAATACAAACCAGATACTCCCATGACGTGGGCTCCATTGGAAGTGCCAAAATGGAACGCTACGGACTAACCAAAATATGCCGTATCTACACCAGTTCCCCTGCTCCTGGGACGCGCTGTTCTTCCGAAACACTTCTACAAGTACATGGGCAGCCGCTATACGGAAGATGCCAAGGCGAATCCCATATGGAAGAAGTTTCTCATTGATCTCATGTAGCCAGAGGGAGGATTTCACTGTATTCTTCCAGCACAGAGGATGCCAAGGCGAATCCCATACAGATTCCGACGGCAAGCGTCATGGAAGAAGTTTCTCATTGATCTCATGTAGCCAGAGGGAGGATTTCACTGTATTCTTCCAGCACAGAGGATGCCACCACCTAACTAATTGCGCTAAACATGTTCAATTTTTACAAACCTAGCTAGGTATGGGGTGGCGAGAGCAGCGGGAGGTGGATTTCCCAAGGGGCGTGCGGTTTTACCCGCTTGATCGCGGGTTTGGGCCACAGATTCATGTTCAGGGCGGCTTGTCTTGTGCTAGGATGGACAAGAAGTTGTCTTTCAATCTGGTGAGCATTGTTGATTGAGTTTGCTGTTCTCAAAGGTGATCGCTGCAGAACTTGTTTCAAGAATTGCAAGTGGGAGATGAGAAAATCCACGTTATTGTATCGGATGGCTATCGTGGAGCCCGACATCCACGTAAGTCATTTCTTTCTTACACTGAACTCTCATCTGGGCTTTGTTTCGCAGTGGCAAGAGACCTGTGTATGTACAGGTTGGGGCTGTTCAACATGTATTTGTCAGACGCCTTTTGCACTGGCAACCTGAAGCGTTCCATTGAAAGTCTCTTCCGCAGGTAAAAGGCTTAAGTTTGTGTGATCCATACATGATGGGTATATCTAGAGTAAAGCAAGGGACGCAAAACAGGATCCAGGAGCTCATGCAAGTCGAAAAAGACGAGCGGGACTGGGAAAAGGAAGACGACGAGGTCGAAAGCATCCACACAATTCGGGTATTTTCTTCTTTTGTTTTTCGTATTCGATGTATTTTCTCGTTGTGTCAAAGGAGGATGAGTGGCTTCCGGAGATGCACTCGACAGTGATTGCTGTCAAGGGGAATGTCGTAGCAGTCGGCGGGCCTGGCGCTTTCGTAGTTGCTCTTGTCGGTTCGCAAGGTTTGAAGGTGAGTATGGAGCTGTCTTTGCTTCCTGCTCATACGAAAAAGTTTCTTATTTCGTTTCAGTGGCTCACCCCAGAAGATGCTGGCAACGTGAACGTGGTGGAGGCAACAAAACAACCACGAGACCTGTTTATAGTGGCGACCTTGTCCTTGAAGAAACTAGCCGCTCACGCCATCGAGGAAGCTTCTCGTGGGGATGTTGTACAGACAGCAGAGGCTCTCTCAGTATTAGATCCTGCAGACAAGGATTCTACGGTTCTTGTAATCAGCACCCCACTCGACCCAGCTCTTGCCAAGTCGACGTGCTCACCAGATTAACATCTGATTACTAGAAATAAAATGTTAGAAATCTTTTTACTCAAACTTGGGCAAGTCTGTACGTAACAGTCGAAGCCCTTGGGCTTCCAGGGTGTGGTTGTGAGCCGATTGGATCAGAACAGCCACATGATCCTGCAGACACTTGGTCACAGCTGCTACGTCGAAGGGACAGCCAGCAAGAGACCTCCAATTGCCAATAAACTTTCCGTGTTACGCACGAAGATCTTCAGTATCTGCATGCGAGTATAAAATCATAAGTGAGAAACAAATACTTTGTAACATAGCAAATACCTCATAACACAAGCCACAGGGCAATTTACTCAAGCCAAAATTCTCGAAGTTGGTACCAGTAGTGCCAGAGCTCACCAGATGGCTCACTATTTGCATCTCACAGTGCAAGGTTCCAGAATGGAGAATACATTCAAGAACCCCGCCAAACTTCCTTTGAAAGCGAGCGGCGTGCTGCTCGTCAACCAGCTGCATCCCCATATTTGACATAATGTCAATAGGATTTGTGTACTTCAGATCTCCAGGAAAAAAGATCCCCATGTATCTAACTCTTCCACATGCTTGAGTGAAAGAGGAAGAAACGGCTTCAGCTCTGCCACCAACACCTGTGCAGCATTTTGCAAAGAAGCAAGAATGCTGAGAACAGGACCAGTTTCCTTGTTCGGAAGTGTTTAGTTAGAAATCAACTTGCCCATAGCCTCCACCAAAATTTGAGCAGCTGTTATACTCATGAGAGAGCACGGACCTAATAAGGGTTAAGTTAGATCAGAAAGCAGCACTACCTTTGCAGTGTTTAGACATGGCTTCCACTTTTGGGCCCAAAAAGTAGACAACACAGTCATGCAGCAATTCTACGTCTTCGTTGTTTATCGCATCTACAATCTGAGAGCTCTTGATCAGATCCTGATTAAACAATATAGTTAGAAGATAAAAAGAATGGGAAAAAAACATGACTGGTACAGTTCTGCATTTCGGTGTCAAGAACCATCACTAGCAGAGTCATGGTGTTACTCCATACATATGATTCACGTGGAATAAGCGTAGCACCGAAGAGTTGGACAAGATATGCAAGTAGAATGAGAGTGCCATAAAAGTCTTCTTGTTCACGGGCTTCTCTCCTTCGAAACCCTCTAGACAAAACGAAATTTCGATCAAACATTACAAGTGCTGTAATGAAATTTCGATCGCAATCAAGAATGCGGTATCGGAAAACATCACAATCCGAATCGACAAAGAGCGAGCGCTATCCGGCGGCATGAACGCAATCCGCGCCTAGAATTTCCGGGAAACAAAGAATATTCACGGCTTTAGAAGATTTATCCGACGTAGAAAGTCCATTCACTCTTTGTCCCTCTTATCTCCAACTATATTCCTCTAGGATTTCTTCTTTGCAAATTCTCAGCTCCAGTCTAAACTAAGGTATTTTTGCTTCCAAAGTCCACCATTTGTGATGAAAATCCTCAACCCTTTTGGATTTGTTGGCCATCCCCAAGTTACGTTGTACCTGAAAAATAACAACAGTAGGAGAACGATGATTAAGTTTTCTAAGGAGGAAAGGAGGGAATGCTTCAATCTCTATGAGAAGGAAGCTAGCAGTAATAAGGGAAAGAAAAGCTAAAATCTATACGAGAAGTTCGTAAGGACAATGGAGGGAGCAAAAAGAAAGAGAACTTGCACAGCCATGCACAGGAGAAAATTGGATTGTGAGCTTTACCTGTATATTGGGATATAGACCAGTGGCGATCCTGCCATTCGACTCAATGCTGATCGGCCAAGGCCTAGCTGTGCAGCAAAATTCTCCCTTGGACCACTCTGGTGCTGGAACCTTAGCGCCTGGGCCATGCTCAACAAATCATCGATCTGCCATACCAAAACCAGCGAATCATCAGAGGAAGCCGTCCCGATACCTCGATTCCAGAGCTGATCGGCCAAGAAGGCCCATAGACGGCGGTGTCGCCATCGAACGCTCCAGATTCAAATCTTTGGATGGAGCGAAGCCACTGTGTGCGTCTCCTGGAGGGCTGTAACACGCTCTCGCGGGCGCAAGAGATCCACGAGCGCGTGCGCCGAGGCATTGGATCGCTCGACGTGTTTGTCTACAACAAGATCGTGGAGATGTACGCGCGGTGCGGCGGATTGGAGCAAGCGAAGCAAGCGTTCGATGAAATCCCGCACAAGAACCCCTTTTCCTGGGTTTTGATGCTCTGCGCGTACTCGCGGAACGATCGCTTGGACGATGCGAAGCGGCTGTTCGATCGGATCCCGGAGCCCGACATCGTCGCGTGGACCGCGATTCTGAGCGCCCACATTCGGAATGGGGCGCAGATCGATCGCGCGCGAGAGATTTTCGATCGAATTCCGGCTCTCAACTCTGTCTCGTGCACCACGATGCTCGTCGCATACGCGCAGAGTGGAGATCTCGAGGAATCGAGGCGGATATTCGACTGGATGCCCGAGAGAAACCTCGTGTCCTCGACTGCCATGCTCGCTGCATATGCCCAAACTGGGCATATCCTGGAATCGGAGCGAATATTTCATGATATGCCTGCGTGGAATCTCGTGACGCTGAATGCGATGCTGGCGGGATATTCTCAGAGCAAGGATCTGATAAATGCCGAGAAAATATTCCACTCGATGCCCGAGTTCCAGCTCCCCGCCTGGAACGCGATGATGGTGGCATATGCCCACTCTGGGTATCTGGAGCGTACAAAGATACACTTCGATGGGATACCCGAGCATGATATTATCTCGTACAATACTCTCTTAAACGCTTACGCTGGAAGTGATCAGGTAGAATTAGCTAAACATTTGTTTGACAGAATGCCCCAGTGGGATCTTGTCGCGTGGACATCTCTCCTTACGGCATATGCCCAAGAAGGGAATGTTCTAGAAGCTAGGCGTACGTTTGAGAATATGCCAGTCCAGAACCTTGTGACGTGGACCTCGCTGTTGCGGGCTTACACACAAGCCGGCAATGTCAGCGAGGCATTGAGTGTTTTTAGGGCCATGCCACAGTGGCAACTGGCCACGTGGACGTCCATGCTTGCGGTAAATGCCCAGTATGGGCATTTGCAGGATGCCGAGCGATTGTTCTCCCAGATGCCGCTCCGGCACCTGGAATCTTGTACGTCAATGCTAGTGGCGTACGGAGAGAGCGGTGAAGTAGAGAAGTCCAAGTCCATGTTTGACCAAATGCTCCAACATGACGTCGTATCGTGGACTGCTTTGCTGGCTGCATTTGCCCTCTCAGGGCATCTGTTAGAATCCAAGCGGATCTTCGACAATATGCCCGAGTGGAACCTTTTCTCGTGGAACACCCTCCTCGCTGGCTACTCACAGAATGGTTTCTTGAGGGAGGCGTTGTTGTTATTCTTTGCGATGCCGGAGAGGGATTCCATGTCGTGGACGTCGCTCATTGTTGCGTACTACCGCAATGGGCTGCTCGTGAGGGCCAGGCGAGTTTTCGACATGATTCCCGAGCCAGGAATCGTCTCCAGGAACGCAATGCTCGCGGCCTACTGCCAGAACCTCGAGAGCTGCAGTGACCAGCTCTGTGATCTCTTTGACACCACCAAGATCACGGAATCCCCAAACGATATCTGCTTCGTGCTCCATCTCATTGCCTGCAGTCAAGGAGGGAAGCTCTACGCTGCTAGATCCAGCTTCATATCCATCACCCTCGACTTCGGAATCCCCCACTCGAAGCAGCACTACTGCTGCATGCTTGACACGCTGGGCCGAGCTGGGCATCTGGAAGACGCTCGAGATCTCATCCAGGGAATGCCCTACGTTGCTGAGGCTGTGGATTGGATTTGCTTGCTTGGCGCTTGCAGGAGTCACAACAATCACAAACTGGGAGCTTGGGTGGCAGAGCGTGTTCTTGGTGGTTCTAACATAGAGAATTTGAAACCAGTCTATGTGCTGCTTGTGAACCTATACTCTAGAGGAGATTCTTCCATGTTGGGAAAGTCACTGAGGAGGCAAAGCCTTCAACAAGCCCAAAGATACCAGTTGGCAAGGTGATCAAATACAAATCTTTTTTATAAGGAATATTTCTTCTTCAAAATGCAATGAGCTAGCTAAACGAAATTTTTACAATCATGGAACTGGTAAATGTTCCCAGCTATTTTAGCTATTTTGAAGGCACAAAGCTGGAAAATAACGTGATACCTGTATCATTCTCTTCTCTTGGAGAAGACTACATCCGATCGTAGCACATACTTCACTCCTCTACGGACAGTCTTAGCTTCGTGTAGCATGCATTCATCGCCATGCAGGTGCAGCAAAGCCATCCCTGAAACAGGAACAACCTGCAAATGCCATTTCTTGAGAAAAACCGAAAGGATGGCTACGCAAACTCACCCCTATTGCTTTGTTTCGGCCAGTGTAAAACACCGTTTCTCCGCCAACAAGTTGAGAGTCCCGCGCTCCCTTTTTGGATTTGATAGCCATCCCCGAGTTTAAGTAGATCAAAAGCGTGTACTCGGTGGCATGATCGGCATCAATTTCTACGCTCTCGTCTACGTGCTGACCAAACCGCTGGCCTTGGTTATACCTGAAAATCCACAACACTTTCAATCATTGGAGATAGAAATCAAGGAGCAATAGAGTACCACAGCAAGGGAAAGGAAAGAGAACTATTTCGATGCTTCAATCTATACGAGAAGCTCGTAAGGAGGCACTACAGAAAGTGAAAGGAAAGAGAATGCTTTCGATCATGCGAAGGAGTAATAGAATACCACAAGAAGGAAAAGGAAAGGGGATTATTTTGATGCTTCAATCTATATGAGAAGCTCGCAAGGAAGTAATAGAGTACCACAGGAAGGTCGTAAGGAGTGAAAAATGGATGGATTTGGAGGCATGAGAACTTTAAGGAAACTGGATCGTGAGCTCTACCTGTAGAATCTGATGTTGGGGTTTAGCCCTGTGGCGATCCTTCCATTCGATTCAATGCCATCAAACAGCGCCGCTAGGTCCGCATTCCAGAGCTGATCGGCCAAGGCCTGGCTGTGGAGCGAAATTCGATCGTTGTCCCTGAATGCCTCTCCCTTGCTGGGGCCAAGGCTTCCCTGGTGCTGGAACCCTAGCTTCTCCGCCGCCGCGACGAACGCATCCACCTCGGCCGTGCTCAAGAGATCATCGATCTGCCATAGCCAAGCAGGGGAATCATCAAAGAAATCCGTCTCAAACGTACCGTGAAGAGATGGATTCCCTTGAGCTCGCGGCGTCGCAACCCGCGCTTGGAGCTCACGGCGGGCCAAGACATTTAAATGCGCATAAACCCTAAAAACATATTCGACACTTTATAGAGAAAGATCCATTAAAGAATTTTTTCTCTGTTGTCCATGGCCAATCCGCCATTGGCCACGCCATTCGCTGCGAGGATCGCGGCATTCATCTGGAAATTCATGGCGCTTCCATTCATCCTCCGCGGCGACGGCAGCTTCAGCAGGCGCGCGGCCGATTTCTTCGACCGCAAAACCCCAGCAATCGACGCGGAGGGAGTGAGCGCGCGGGATCTCACAATCGATGATCAAGACACCGATCTCTGGGTCCGGATCTTCACGCCGAGCTCCTCCTCGTCCACGCTCCCCGTAATCTTCTTCTTCCACGGGGGATTCTTCGCGCTTTGCACGCCAGCATCGCCCCATTTCGACGCCCTGTGCCGCAATCTCGCCACGGCCTGCGCAGCGATCGTGATCTCCGTGAACTACCGCCGCATTCCAGAGCACAGGTACCCGGCAGCGATCGACGATGGCTTCGAAGCCCTCAAATATTTCCAGCAGCATTCTTCCAAGAACGCGCTCCTTGATCTCTCCAACACATTCCTCGTCGGGGATAGCGCCGGCGGCAATCTCGTCCACAATCTCAGCTCCAAGCTCGCCCTGGCGCGCGAGGATCTCTCCCCCATCGTCATTCGCGGCCAGGTCTTGATCCAGCCATCCTTTGGAGGCGAATCCCTCACGCCATCCGAGAAGGAATTCGCGGATGTCCCTTTCGCGAATCAGCGATTCTCGGAGTGGCGATGGCGCGCGTATCTCCCACCCGGCGCGAGCAGGGATCATCCGGGGTGTAATCCATTTGGCGGAGAAGCGCCGCTAGATTTGGCGGCCATGGCCATTCCGCCAACTTTGGTGGTGATTGGGGGTTCGTGCCCTGGCCAGGACCGCCACGCACAGTACGTGGACAAGCTGATAGCCGCTGGAAAGGAGGCCCAGAGCATATTCGTCCCGGGGGCCTGCCATGGCTTTTACTTGGCTCCAAAATTTCCTCATGCGAGGAAATTTTGCGAGGACATAGCCACATTCGTGAAAATTCGAGTTGCAAGCTCGTGAAAACTTCGATGAAATGGAATTTTTTTTCTCTCAAAACCGAGTTCTAAGATGAAGAACACTAAAAACTGGTCAGTAAAAGAGGTGCTTTTATCTTTACCTTAGCATCGCCGGCTGGATTATTAAAACTCTCCAAAAATTTGGTCTTCCAGAGACAAAAAAACAGACTTACTTCAAGCCTGGATCGCTCTGGTAGAAGACAACATCGCCGTCGTCGGCGACGAACTGGTCTTCCTTGAGGCTCTTGCTTAGAACCTTGAACAAATGGATCGGCACTGGCCCGGACGTCTCAGGCTCCCTGTAGTATTTCCCGAGAATCGGCTTTATGGCTTTAGTCTACACAGGAAATTTGAAAAGAACGTTAATCGATGACCCTTGATACTACTCAGAGAAACTTACGGCTTCGATCAAATGGTAGTGTGGAATTTGCGGGAACAAATGATGCACGACATGCGTTCCAATGTCGTGGTGAATGTTATTGAACAATCCATAGTCTCGGTCTATAGTTGATAGGCCGCCTCGGATGTAATTCCATTCCTGAGATGTAAAAGAGCTCGTTTGAGAGAAATGAATCCTCAGAACAGGAAAATACTTGTACCTTCCCACGATACCATGGTACTTTCTGGTAGTGGCCATGGTGGTGCATGTAAGTAACGCCAGCAATCCACATTATCTGGATCTGAAAATGATAAAGAAACGAAAAGTTAATAAAGCTAGAGTTCTACACTGGATTGCATACTCAAGAGCGTAGAGGACTTACCACGTAAGGAACAAAGTAGAGTTTCAACATCCAGAGTGGCCCGATTCTTATCGTCAAGGCGATCAGGATGGCCAACATGACCGTCCAACACGCGGTTGACGTCAAAACATCACCCCTCTCACTGGGCTTGAACAAGGGGCTCTCTGGATGGAAATGAGAACCATCCTTGCCAGGAGTTCTTTTCACCTACGAGCACAAGAAGGTGTCAAGCTCGAACAATGGAGAATAAACAAATCCTTACGAGATAGAACGGGAATACCAACAATGGCCACGGCAATTGGAACCGTGCAACAAGCTTCAGTGGAGGAGACGACTTATACATGCTCTCAGTCATCTGAAAAAACCATGAAATTTTTGAAAATTTGCAACCTCAGAACGGCTTACAGGTGACCAGGACTCGTCATTGTCTGCGTGACCGTGATTTTGATGATGAGTTCTGTGGCTGATTCTCCTGCGAGGCCGGGGAATCAGTCATGGCGGAGGACAAAAACAGGACAAGAGAATCTGATCACTCACCACCCATGATACGGGACCAAAATAAACGAGTGGACAAAATGTCCTACGACTGTGTTCACGTCCTTGTTGTCAGAAAAGCTTCCGTGTCCACTGCATAGAAAAAGAATTCATAGAGTAACTTTCACGCAAGTTGCTCAAGGGAAGTAGAAGACAAACTAGAGACATGTTCTAAGTCACAAAAAACCCAAGAAATAAAAAAACAAAAAATAAAAAAGCACGCACGCAAACGTACATAAAAAGTATAAGAAAAAATAAATATCGAGCGCGAAATCCAAGAGAAAGGGAACTTCGAGGCATTCAGGTGAAAGAATCGCAATGCAGGGCACCAGAAATCCAAGAGCAAACCAAAGAGACAAAATTCTCACCACTGCCATGCAATGAAATCCAATGCGAGTCGATGGAAATGGAAGATTTTGCTTACCAGTCGTGGCCGATGACGAAGAGCGCCCAGAAGAGCGTGCCTTGCGCGATCCAATACGCGGGCCAGACGAGCCAGTGATCGAAATATCCGGCAATGCAGGCCAAGATCGCGACGCCCGCCAGATCCCTGGCCAGGAAGCTCAAAGATCTGCCCAGGCTCTTGTTCCAGCAGTGGCTAGGGATGGCGGAGCGGACCTCGGCGATGGTGAACGGCGGCGGCGCTGATGGATCAAACCCCTTGGCGTCGCCGTCGTCCGCCATGGATCGATCGATGGAATCGATCTAATGGCGATCGATCGGATCGCAAGAGCCGCCGCCTGGATTGCCGCCAAGAAAAGAAAGAAAAGACCTCTGTATAAAAGCTTCTAGGGAACCCCTATCGCATCTCTCCACTGGCATTCTTTTATATTTATAGGTAGGCTCCTCCTGATCAAACGAATCTTTCGAATGGGACCCTTTATAAAGATCAAGGTCTCAAACTCTATATAACATTTCTGGAGAAAAGAATGCTTTTTGCGTGTTTTCTTTTTTGTTGGCTTCGCATTTTCGCCAAAAAATGATTTTTTCATTGTTCCTCTTTAAATGGAGTCCCGCTGGTAGAAGACAATGTCGCCTTCATTCGGCACAAAATGGTCCTCCTCGAGGCTCGACTTAAGAATTTTGTACAAGTGCAAGGGAAGCAGGCCAGATTTTTCTGGTTCCCTGTAGTATTTTCCCAGCACAGGCTTTATCGCTTTGGTCTACACCAAGAAAACAAAAAAAAAAGAAAAAAAGAAAAAAGAACCACGATTAGCTCGATCCGAAGCAAAAAAGCGCTAAGATGAACTCACAGCTTCCACCAAATTGTAGTGAGGAATTTGAGGGAACAAATGATGCACGACGTGAGTGCCGATATCGTGGTGGATGTTGTTGATCACTCCGTAGTCTCTGTCTATGGTGGAAAGTCCCCCTCTCATGTAGTTCCACTCCTAGAGTTCCAGCATAAAGAGCCTTGAAAAAAAAAACAAAGCTTGCACAGTACCTTTCCTCTGTACCACGGAACCTTGACTTCGTGCCCGTGATGATGCATGTAAGTCACAGCATCCAGCCAAACAATATTGATCTGCGGTCACAAGCATCAAACGATTGCGTAGAACTCTGGAAAACTTACCAAGTAAGGTACGACGTAAAGCTTGAACATCCAAACGGGGCCAACAGCAGCTGTCATGGCAGCCAGCAACGCCAACATCGCCGACCAGCACACTGTCGACGTTATCACGTCGTTTCTCTCGCTCGGGACGAAGAGAGAGCTGTCCGGATGGAAGTGAGAGCCAGTTTTACCCGGACTCCTCGTCGCCTGTTCGTGAGAAAGATTAGAAACGAGGCAAAGCAAAATGGAACTTCTAGTAATACCAGATAAAGCGGATAAGCAAACATGACCCATGGAAGCTGGAACCGGCCGAAGCGAGTAAAGATATCTGCGTCTTTGTAGAGCTTCTCGGTCATCTACATGAAGAACAGTGTAAGGTAAGAGAAAAACAAAATGGTTTCCACTTGCGAGAGCATCAGGCGACTTACTGGATGCCAGGACTCGTCGTTCTCGACATGGCCGTGATTCTGGTGATGCGTCCGGTGGCTTATCCTCCTGGATTTCCACAAAGTTTAAACTCTAAGCCAAACAAGAAATGGAAAAGCATACGTACCACCCGTGGTATGGAACCAGGATGGAAGAATGGAGAATGTGGCCGAAGACATGGTTAAGCTTCTTGTTATTGGAAAAACTCCCGTGTCCACTGATCAAAGACGCGTAAGATCGAGAAAGAAAAAACATTGCTGGGAGAGAAAAACTTACCAGTCATGGCCGAGCACAAAGAGAGCCCAGAACATCGTGCCTTGGGCAGCCCAGTAGAGTGGCCAGACGAGCCAATTATTCAAGTAAGCAGCACCAGCAGCCAGTCCGAGAACCACCGCTATGTCCCTCACGACATAGCTAATCGATCTCCACACATTCTTCTCCCAGCAATGCTTTGGAATGGCAGCTCTGACATCTCCCAGAGAAAATGGTGGTGGAGCGGCAGGATCAAACTCCTTGGAGAAGTCACCGACCACATCGCTTTGAGGAGCAGTGACAGTTCGGAGTGGAACAGCGACCATTGGAACGGATGGCGAGCTCGAGCCGGGCTTGAGCCTTCTTTTAAGAGCCAAGAGTGGAGAAAAGGAAGAGCCAAGGCCAGCGATGACACACGCTTGCTTGGGCGATCGAAAACTTAGCGATGATCTCGGCGTCTTGTAGCAAAGCTTTGAAGGCAAGGAGAGTGACTGCGAGGAACGGGGGAAAATCCCCACATTTTGCGAAGGAACCAGCACGCCTGCCATCACTCCACCGAAGAGCGCTCAACGAAAGCGAGAGCTCCACTGGTGCGTGACGAACAGGCAAAATGTAGAAACGCGATTTCCAAGGCTCGCAGCTGGCACACAAAAAAAAACAGAGGTCAACGAATCTCCTGTCACGGCCAGATCGAGCTAGAAATTCTCACCTTAGAGATGAGACTCCCAGCGCTCTCCCAGTCCCAATGTGGAACCCTACAACCCTAAATATCGCGCAGCGTGCCGCTGTGGATATGGCGGCTCCTGGCCACGCACTGGCACTGAGAAATTAGGGTTCTTCTTCGCGGGTGTGCGCTGACGTGGCTGGGCCGCCGCCCTTCAGTTGCGCGTACGGTATTAGCAATTTGTAAAACGTGCAATTATAAACTACCTTTATTTTATTTCTACTGCCTTTTTATATAGGGGTGCGAATTGATTTTCTTGTCACTGTTACTTCCTATAGCGGCCTCCAATCGAGATCTTTTTTTAGGGTTTGTCTACTTCTTAGATGCATTTTGATTGATCACTTTTTGTCCATCGACGGATGAACAATGAATGAACGACAACATTAGTTAAGAGGAAAAAGGTCGTGTTTCGAGTTTTAGCTAAAAGGCCACTACCTCAAATTTATATTTTGACTAGTTCGTTAGTAAAACAATAAATTCAAGAGATTAACAATAGGAATAGCGGATAGCATAGTGGGGTGAAAAAGCAGCACGTTCAGGCCATAGCCATACTTCACTTTGTAAGTGGGCGTACCAAGGGACCAGAGATTTTTCCACATTGTCTACAGACCATGCAAATAAAATCAAATTCTCTCTCAACCTTGTCAAATCATCAGGAGAGATTCCAAACACGCTTGCTTACTCCAAGCTTTCCTTTTTCCATTGTTTGTATTGCTCTAGGAGATTGTCCGGTGTTGACAGTCTCTGGCGATTTGATGTGTGCCTGAATCACACATGCTGTCAATAACAACACACAAGGAACTAAACAAGATTAGTTTGGAAAAAAAAAGCCCCCAAGTAAACTATCTTACCTGCATGTATGATTGATGGAACTTTGCATAGTAAACTTGTCTTTGAAAGGGCTCGTCACGGCTTTTGCTTTAGTCCTGTTTGGACCGCGTTTACTTTACGCATCCCCTCTGACTTCCACTGTGGGACAAATCATTAGCAAGAAAAACATAAAGGACGGAACGTCTGTGTAAAAAAGAACCTTTTTTTCTTCCCGGCTTCTTACATCTGAGCCTTGCCTTTAGTTCTCAGCGCTTTGCATGCTTGCACAAGGCGAGGCAACACCTCGCCTGCGTTTCCGCGCAGCATTACATGAGCCAAATGAGAATTGGCAGGGCTGGGATCACAAATGACAATTGTTCCTTGGTTGGATTTGCAGAGCTGCACGAGGCTGTTGGCGGGCGAGACCTGCTCGGACGAAAAAACGAAAACATGAAATGAGAAGTTCAGCTCAAACAACACAAAAGCATCCATGGTGCCTACCACAAGAGAAGTTCCGATCACAAGCATCACCTCCGCAAACATTGCCAGTCGCAGCGAGCCTTCCATCACAGAACTTTGTAAAGGCTCGCCAAAGAGGATCGCGTCCATTCTTAAAACTCCTCCACAACGAGAGCACACCGGAACGCTCTGCAAATGTACAGTGTAAGAAAAAGCTGGGAAAAAAAGAGACAAGTTTGTTTTTACTTTTCCCGAGTTCAACTGATCCATCGCCTCCGAGATTGGTACCTTGCTCCTACAAACCATGCACGACGCAGTTGATCCATTCCCGTGCAGCTCACGTACTTTGTTGCTCCCTGCACGCTACAAAGATTTCCCAATTGGTCGGATACGAGAAGCAAAATAGAGAGAAAAAAAACGGAGAGAGATGATCCCAAGTACCTGGTGCAAGTTATCTACATTCTGCGTTATAACATGTTTCAAATATCCCATACTTTCAAGCTCGGCAAGCGCATAGTGCGCGGGATTGGGCTGAGCTTCTGCCATTGTGCTTTGCATGTCCACTGCCATCTTCCAAAAGAGCTCGGGCCTGAACAGAAAAGTAAACAAAAAAAAAAAAAAAGTTAGAGAAGAAGCTAGAAAGTAAAACTTCTTTTCTCCAGCGCTTACTTTTGTTTGAAAACAGAATAGTTACAATACACCTCGGGATCATACTTTGACCACAATCCCCCGCTGCTTCGAAAATCCGGAATTCCTGGCGGCAATTCATTGTTAGAAAAATCCCTCTCGACACAAGCATTGAGCAATGCGCCATCTAAGACGAATGAAATAACCCGCATTGTGAGCTAGATCGCCGCATTCTTACCGGATTCCACCGAAATTCCAGCGCCAGTAAACGCCACCACCGAGGACGCATTGACGATGAGATCGGCGGCCTTGCGCAGCGCCTCGTCGAGCTCCATTCCCCCAAGAACCCTAAGAAAGCCCTAGTAGCGTGCCCACGACCGTCCACGTGTCCAGATTGTCCACGTCTGATGGTGACGTGGAAGGTTAAGGACACTCTTCTTTTAAGTCTCCCTGTGTAAAGCTGATTCCCCGCTTACATCGTGTCGTGGCGATGGCGATGGCGATGGCAATGCCAATGGAGGTGGAGATGGAGATGGAGCGCGGCAGCGCTGAAATTTGCAGCGGCGGCTCCTCCTCGGCGCTGCTAGCACCGAGCGTCAGCGATGGGGGCGTCGCGGCGCAGTGGTCGGAGATGCTGCCGGAAGCCCTGGCCAGGATTTTCGCTGTTCTTCCGCTCGAGGAGCGAATGCGGAGCGTCCCGGTGGTTTGCAAGGCGTGGCGCAAGGCGGCGATGGATCCGACGTGCTGGAGGGTTGTGGATTTGCACGAATGGAGCCGGCTCATGCCCTGGGAGGTAATCCACAGGATGGTCCAGCTCGTTGTGGAGCGCAGCGGAGGCGGCCTCGAGGAGCTCTCGGTCTGTCGGCTCGCCAACGACGAGCCAGTGGATTACATCGCCAAGAGGTTCTTTCTTTTTCTCCCCTCTTATTTCATTGTCTTGTGTGTTCTTGGGTTTCTTTAGCTTGTTTCTTTGCTCTTTGCTTTGCTAGTGATTGTCTCGCAAAAAACCAAATTCCGTTAGGTCTCTGGCATTGATTTTCCGATTGCTCATTGCATAGATAACGCTTCCCGGTGAGAGATAAGCAAACGGCCCTGACCTCTTCCTGGTTCGTTTGAGTCGCTTTGCATGGAATTTGCATGGTTTTGTAGGAACCAGCAATGGTTTTTAAAGAAACTTCTCTCTGCCAGGGCCTGGATGCTATTGACATGAATGGTTTTCTATACATTCTTTGGCCTTGCAGGGGTCATGGGTTGAAAGTTCTTCGCATACCATTCTGCCAAGTCACGGACGGCTGCATTGCCAACATCGCCCCCAGCTTGAGCAGGATAACTCACTTGGACATCAGCGGCTGCACAGCGATCTCCAAGACGGCGCTCGCGCAGATCGGCCGCTCCTGCAAGTCGCTCGCGCGCCTCGACCGCAACATGTCCTTTTTCTTCCAGACCAACAACTTGGTGGCCGAGGAGTATGACGACGAGGCGCTGGCCATCGCCGCACACATGCCGCTGCTGAGACACCTCGAGCTCTGCTACGGATCGCTCACGAACTCGGGGCTGGCCGCGATACTGGACAAGTGCAAGAGCCTGGACTTTCTCGATCTGAGGGGCTGCATGAACTTGACGATCGACGGGGCCATGGCCGAGCGGTGCCGGAAGATCAGAGTCATCTACAACATCAAGTTCAATGACCAGTTCCAGATGCTCGACCTGTACGACGACATGTCCGACGTGCACTACTCGGACGATGGCTGGGATATCGAGGAATGGTACTCGAGCTCGGATGAGATTGACGATGTTCTTCCCTGCGAGATGTGGTGAGCGACGGGGGGAGAGCGAGTGCGGCAGAAGCAGCGCTCGCAACGAGGCTCTCCAGGCTTTAAACTCGTCTATCAGGGAGGACACACAGGACAGGAAAAACACACATAGCTATAAGCTATCTTACAGGAGGACTCAGGGTTCAGGGAGGAGGGGAAAGGACTTCCTCCTTGGTTGTAGAGTTTTTATTTTCTTCTTTCTTCTGCTAGGTGCTGCTGCTGCTACCGCCGCCGCTGCTCAGCTCGAAGTTATGGCTCCCTCTCTGTGCGGTATCTCCTTGGAGCGGTATCCAATTCAGGTACCCGATTCAAAGCTCTTGAGAAATTCGCAGGTTGTCAAGCAGGATTGATTGACACGGGGGGAAAGTATAGCTAGAGAGGAAAGAAACTCTCAAGAACAGTGCCTCTCGCAGTTTGGAGGAGATAGATGATCATATCAGGGAAAGCCAAATCCGGCTTTGGCGGAAGAATCGAAGATGGAGTAAAGACAGACAAAAGAGTCCACAGGAAGAAGAAAATTCAATCCAATCAAATCAAACCAAGTCCCTGGCCGTAAAGGAAAAGCCCATTCTTTTTTTCTTTCTTTTTTCTTTCTTTTTTGTCTTTCTCACACACCCTGTTGTAATATGAAATAGCTTACCTCTTGTTTTTTTTTTTCTCTAAAATTTTTGTTTGTACTGGAAGCTCTCAGGACAGGGAAAATCTCCGTAGAGTGGATTTGTACCGTGTGGTTCTGGGAAAGTTGTGCAGTGGTGTAAGTTGGAAAGAAAAATGTGTGTGAAACGATGGTTATTGGCCCCTGATAGGTGGCTATAAAACACTAGGGTTTTATGACCAGTGTCCCTTCATGGAAGAAAAGTTTTGCGTGTGACTTTGGAGTCCTACATTTTTAAGGGCCGCCACCTTTCCTAGACCAGGGTGGTTTCCTTTACCTGACAGATAGAGATGCATTGATCCGGGGCTCGAATCTCGTGAGCACTGGGATTCGATTCGCATCCTCGTGTAGATTCTTCCAAGGTTGAAAAGAATAGTCTTTTTACTAAATTTTTGGGTGGCTACGTGCGCGATGTGGAGCCAGGGGACATGATGCCACTACTTTTGTTGTGTTACTGGATCCTTCTATATGCGTGGAATGAAATCGATCTAGTAGGCGTCGTGCCAGGATTCGAGCTCTGGACGTGGCCAGCCAGTTGGATAGCGTCAAAACTTTCCCGCGCAGCGCTGTCCGCCCATCGGACGGCAGGGGCAGCCTGGATTCTGACGAGGGGCCAATCGACGACGGGGATGGCACTGGTGCCCTAATATATCATAACATTGGATGCCTACGTGGCGGGGCCGGGAGCGTTGGATACTGGAATCCTAGGGCCGGGCATGCGATGCTCGGATTTTCTTCCAGCAACAGAGGGAAAAAAAGAATTTATGCGTTTTGCGTCGTCAGGGAATGCGGCAGTGATGTGAGCGCCTTCCTCGACCGGATCGCCCTCCAAGATCGGTGCGCGTGTCAGATCTCGCGCGCTAGCTCCAGCGAGCAGCTTCGCGGAGTGGATCTCTCCAGCGCCGCGCTCAATCGGTGAGTTCTTCATCGTCCAAGGGTTTCGACTGGGATTGCGGCGGGGCGATCCCTAGGCGGCAGGGTAGCATCCGGATTCGTTTCACGGTCGAAATTTCGATCGGCGATCTGTAGGAGCTGGTGCATGAGGGATTGGATTATCCATGGTCCGGGATAGATGCACAGCACAGGCGCGATTAGAGAATGTGGTCCGCGGCTATTCCGTTTTGCTGGGAGATTTGGGAGGGACAGGGATTTCCTCGTCGGGCCAGCGGAAGAGAGTGACTGAAACACGTCCGCGAGGATTGGATTGGGGTTTGAGAGGCAAGATCAGGTGAGCGATATAGAATCATGGCTCTACGCAGCACGCTAGAGGAGATTTTGGAATCGTTGAAAAGATCGGATGAGAAGCCCAAGGATTTCCCTCCGGCATTGCCTCAGCGGCCAACTTCCAGAGGTCGGCTACCCTCCTCCTTACGTGGTGGTAGAAAGAGTTTGGATGGTATTATCCGTCAAGCAACCGCGACAAAGCCTGTGGAAAGTACCAATGAGCAAACACCGGCGATCCACGAAAATGGCAATGGAGTAGAGCACAAGGATGGCAATGACACTGGCGTGGAGAGCAAGAACAATGGTGTTGATTCGTGCATGGACGTAGAAACACAGCATGAGAAGAAAGAGTACGATCTCGTGGAAAGAGATTCAGCTTATGAGTCAGCTGAGGATCTGGTTGGCGAGGACGGAGACTCGATAGAAGAGAAGGCGATTCCCGCCGTTCCAGTGGCAGCGATTGTGGAAAGCAGGACAAATGCGCGCAAGCGGTGGAGGGAAGACGCTTTAAAGAAGGTGAGTATTTCCTTTTTCTTTTCACCTTTCCTGTATGAATTATTTAGTTTTCTGGCAGAATTCACGAGTCTGGTGTAGATCCACAGAAGGAGAATGGATTCTGGGAACTCTTCAAGCTGTCGGAGATGCGAGTCCTGTCATTTCTGTTCTGGATGGACAGGTGAGTCGGAGATATTATCATTGTACTTAATAAGTTTTTTATTTTTTATGCAGGTTATAAAAGCGGAAACATCCATGGTTCTTCCCGCTAATCCTGACATTCTTGAAGGGATAGATGATCTTATTCAACTGAGCTACTTGAACGAACCAGCAGTTCTTCACAATTTGAAATACCGCTACAGCCAAGGTTTTATTTATGTGAGTTGATTCTCGTATTCTCGTTTCTCTTTTCAGTTGATTGGCTTATAATCGTATTTCTTATTCATACAGACCAAAGCTGGACCAGTTCTTATCGCCATCAACCCATTTAAAAAAGTTCCAATCTATTCATCCGAGTATATTGACATGTTTCGACAGCATGGTTCAAAAGCCGGTCTTAGTCCTCACGTCTATGCTACTGCTGACAGTGCTTACAAGGAGATGATAACAGGTATAGTGGTAGTTTTGATCTTGAATCTGAGAAGGTAAAACTTATTCTGATTTCAGCTGGACTAAATCAATCCATTATCATCAGGTAACGATTATCTACATGTATTTTACTGGTTTTCTTATACTTGCTATGCCTGCAGTGGTGAAAGTGGGGCCGGCAAAACTGAGACTGCGAAGATTGCAATGCAGTATTTAGCTGCCCTTGGAGGTGGAGGAGGTGTGGAAAATGAAATACTGGAAACTAATCCGATTTTGGAAGCTTTTGGGAATGCGAAGACACTTCGCAATAACAATTCTAGTCGTTTTGTGAGTGAGCGAAAATTTTAGACTATTTTAACTGATTCTGTCAATTGTTGTGCAGGGAAAGCTCATTGATATTTTCTTTGATAGCGCCGGCAAAATTTGTGGTGCAAAAATTCAGACATGTAAGTCTTTTTACTCTATCCTCGCATTTTTTGTTATTTGTAATTTCTAAGGTGCTCTTGGTTCTTGCAGACTTACTTGAGAAGGTAACAAACTTCCTCTATTCAAAACAGTTGCTAATCTTAATAATTTGCTCTAAAGTCTAGAGTCGTACATCAAGCACCAGGTGAAAGGTCATACCATGTGTTTTACCAGCTGTGTGCTGGGGCAGACGCTGGCATGCGAGGTAAACCATAATTTTTTCAGGTGGAAGCATGTAACATATTTCGTGTGTGCAGATCGTTTGAAACTAAGACATGCCTCCGATTATCATTTCTTAAATCAAGGGAAATGTCTTGCTATTGAGAACGTCGATGACGCAGGACAATTTCACCGTATGCTGGTTAGCTTTCAAAATCACGTGTTTTTCTAGTCTTCTAAAATTTTTCTGTTTAGAATGCGATGAACACTGTTCAAATAAATCAAGAAGATCAAGAAAAGGCGTTCAAAATGCTCGCAGCGGTACTTTGGCTGGGAAATGTTGCATTTTCCATCATCGACAACGAAAACCACGTCACTGTAACCAATGACGAAGGTGAGAAGACTATTTTATGCATCGATATTTCATTTACTGATATCCTTAAGGCAGCTATTCAAGTGGCAGCATCTTTGCTGGAATGTGGTGCTCTTGATCTTATTCAAGCACTCTGTACTCGAAAGATCCGTGCAAGAAATGAGGACATTGTGCAGAAGCTCACTTACCCACAGGTCAGGTACCTCTTCTAGCATTGAAATGCACTTACAAGACGGCCTTTTTTTCAACTCAGGCTGTTGACGCGAGAGACGCTTTGGCGAAGGCTTTATATGCAAGCTTATTCGATTGGCTGGTAGAAAGGATAAATATTTCAATGGAAGCTGGCAAGAAGCGTACTGGAAAAACCATCAGCATTCTAGATATCTACGGTTTTGAGTCCTTTCAGGTCGGTGCGCTAGTTTTAGTTTTCGCGATTTTACTGAGTTTTCTACTGCAGAGTAATAGTTTTGAGCAACTTTGCATAAACTATGCAAATGAAAGATTACAGCAACATTTCAACCGCCACCTGTTCAAACTCGAGCAAGAGGTAGAAGTTTTTGCGCTTTTCAACGAAGTAAATAATCTTGTAATTCAGGAGTATTCAGCAGAAGGCATTGATTGGACGAGGGTCGAATTTGTTGACAATCAAGAATGTTTAGACTTGATAGAAAAGGTACGTTCAATTCCCGTCGGTATCAATCCCAGATCATTCTCTTCTTCAGAGACCACTTGGGCTTATTTCTCTGCTCGACGAGGAATGCACATTTCCACAGTCAACTGAGATTTCATTGGCGATGAAATTGAGCAAGCATCTGTCAAAGAACAGTCATTTTAAAGCTGAAAGGGATACGGGATTCACCATACGTCATTATGCTGGAGAGGTAAATTCTTGTAGTTCTTTCCTGACGAGGATTGACTCTTTCTTCAGGTAACATACAGTACATCCGGAATAATGGAGAAAAATAGGGATTTACTTCACACAGATATTCTTGAGCTTTTGTCATCGTGTAAGAGCTCGCTAAGTCGTGCATTTTCTGCAAAAAAGGGCGAGGGATTTAGAAAAGAATCGCAAAAGCAAAGCGTGTCAACAAAATTCAAGGTGGTGTATCTTAGAGGCTTAGTGTTACTGAATTTTCCTTTCTTTTCAGGGTCAATTGTTTAGGCTACTACAGAGGCTGGAAAATACGTCCCCGCATTTTATACGTTGTGTAAAACCAAACGCCTATCAACTACCAGACAATTTTGAACAAGATCTTGTACTTCAACAGCTCCGCTGTTGTGGCGTTTTAGAGGTAGTGAGAATTACAAGGTCTGGCTATCCTTCGCGTCATTTGCACCAGCATTTCGCTGACAGGTATTTTCATATTCTGCCATTCACTTGATAGCCTTGGCTCTGAATATTTTCTTTCAGATTCAGAATCATGCTCCAGAAACAGGCTTCCGATACTCGTGATGCTTTGAGTGTCTGTATTTCTATATTGCAGCACTTCAATGTGTCCCCAGAGACATACCAAGTTGGTCTAACAAAGCTGTTCTTCCGCTCTGGCCAGGTATTTTACTGCTGGTTTATGTTTCCTGCTCTAACATTTTATAAAACTGCAGATTGCAGTGCTAGAAGAGAAAAGAACGCGTACGCTGAACGGTATCGTTGGCGCTCAAGCTTTGTACAGAGGTTACCGAGCTAGACTGTACTTCAAGCGTTTGCGTAGATCAACGGTTCTATGGCAATCTCGTAAGCCTCGTTTTGTCGACTCTATTTTGTCACTGTGCTCACTTGTTTGACATGCAGTGGTCAGAGGGATGCAAGTGAGAGCTATGTTCAAGAAGCTAAAGCAAAGGCACCGTGCTGCTATATTCATCCAGAAGCACGTGAAGGGTATATTTTCTCGTGCGTCTTACAAGGACTTGTTACGAAGGCACCATGCTACTCTTACAATTCAAAGGCATTTCAAAGGGCTCGTTGCAAGAAACGAATTAAGGAGATTAAAAAGACGAAACGTAGCTGCTGTCACCATTCAAAAACGAGTTAGAGGCACCCGGGAAAGGAGGCGTTATACGAGACTGAAGCAGCAGAACCAAGCAGCGATCTCTATTCAAAAACATATCAAGGGCCGTAAATCCCGAAGGAATTACAAGCAAAAACAAGAGAGAGTTATTCGCGTCCAGTCAGGTAAATGCATGTTATCAATTCTACGTGTACTTTTTGTTACAATGCTCTATTCCTCAGTTACGAGGAGGTGGCTGGCAAAGAGAGCTTACAATCTTCAGAAACAACAACTGAGTTCCTCTTCAAAGGAAATCCCTGTACAGTCGGTAGAACAAAGCATTGTAGCGGAAAATGTGGCAGTAAAAAGCGCCAGCGACAGCCTGAAGGTATGGAGTTCCTTTCTCTCTTTTTCTTTTGTTTGCCTGTCCTCGTTTTTCTTTTGACTTTTGATGACATGCATGCTCCTTGCGTGCGCAGATCGTGGATTCTGGTCACGAGAACAGAGCACTGGCAGCGGAGCTCTTAGCATGGAAGCAGCGCGCTCTTGTAGCGGAGCAAGCGGTGTGGGACAAGGACGTGGAGAACGCGGCAATGGTCCACAAGCTCCAGCAGTACGAGCAGCGGTGGTCCGAGTACGAGGCCAGGATGAACGCCATGGAGGAGGTGTGGCAGAAACAGATGACGTCCTTGCAGCAGAGCCTTGCGGCCGCAAAGAGGAGCCTCACCAGCGAAGATCCCGTCCCTGTCGCGCTCCCGGCGAAATCCGACGACTCCGTCCAGCAGCAAAACTCGAACTTTAGCAGGGATCGAGCTTCCCGGCCGGCGCTGCCAGCGGAGGAGTTCGAGTGGGAGGAATCCGCGACGTCGGTGACGCCCGAGCCGGGATTCATCACCGCCAGCACCACGGCTACTTCGAACCAGACTTCGTCGGACAACCACAGTAACTTCCCGCGAGATTTTGACGCTGGGAAATCGGTGGTGGGGCAGCTGGTGAAGGAGTACGAGCACAGGACGCAGGTTTTCAATGACGATGCCGATTTCTTGGTGGAGGTGAAGTCGGGCCAAGTGGAGGCCAACTTGAGCCCGGAGGACGAGCTCAAGAAGCTCAAGCACAGGTTTGACGTGTGGAAGAAGGATTTCAAGGGGCGATTGAGAGAGACGAAGGTGATACTCCAGAAGCTGTCTCATGTGGACGAGGAGAGATCCAGGAAGCACAAGTCATGGTGGAGCAGCAGAAGAGCTAACCAGTAAATAAATAATGAATCATAAAAAAAAGTAATGTAATCTTCTTGTTTGGAAGAAGAATTTAAAAGATTTTGGTATGTGCCATGATGTTACAGCTTTCAATAGTTTTTCTTTTTAAGTTAAAAATTAATTAATTACTTAAAATTAAATAAAAACACAACAAGATTAAAAATGTCAATCTATTCTATAATATATAAAAACAATGCTATCCTCTCTTGCAGTTGTAACATTTAGTAAAGAGGCCAACTTGATGCACTTGATTAGCTATGGCGACGATGTTTGCCCATAGCCCAAACCCGCTCATAAACAGCATCCACAACACAATGCCAAGGTTGATGCTCAAGATCGTTTCCCATCTTAGCAAACAGAAGTGCTTGTCCACAATGCTCTGGAATATTGTCAAATCATATACTAATGTAGCGAAGATAAAGCACAGGACTTACAGCTTCTGAGGCGCGCTTCCAAAACGTGAAGATGTAAGCGCTGCATGGAAGGATATGCTGGCCCCAGGTTGCAAACAGGGCAACCGATATGGGAGTTGAAAGCCCGAAAAACGGGAATGCAAGAGCTGCCACCCATATCACTAGGAACACTGGAACCCTCACAAGGATGCGCTTTCCAAAGCTTGGCGAGTTGTGGACTTTGAAGAGCTTCTCAAAGATCAGGTAGATTGGCAGCGTGAAAATGCCAAACACTACAAACTGTTCACAAACATTCCAGATAAGCGGAGGTTTTTCCAAGGCTCTTGCCTGATGTAGAAGCAGGAGGATCACTGCAGCGTCACGGAAGATCGACTTTGGGAGTAGAGCTATGGCGTTGGCCTGTTTGAGGAGCTTATCCCCAAATCTCCAGAACAAGCTCATGGTGGGGATTAATGAGACCAATCCAGTGTAAACCATTCCAAAGAGCCACGGCAATTTGTATTCCTCTGGCTTCCACATCGCATCCATAATCTCCCTTAAAGAAAGCAACTAGAATTCGATAAACGAAAGAAACTCTTTTGATACTCACACAGGGATAGCCTCCGTGCCCAAAGCTATGAAATTCGTCATAGGAATGAAGTACTCTGAGAACTCCCGAGGGGAAAACGGCCTGTTAACATCTGGAATCTAATACCACAAAGAAAATAAAAATATTTGGGAGTTCCAATCGATCGACTTGCCTCTTTATGCACAATTCCTGCGATGATCAGATAGAATGCCGTGTATATAGTCGCGATAACACCAAGAAATGACCATGCTCGATAGTTTTGAGCCGATGGCGTAAACACTGACAAGGAAAAGATACCACCAAAGATCAAAGCCCAGGTTCTCTTGTCAAGGCTGTCATTCATGTAGAACACGATGCTGCCGGCACAAGTAGAAAATCATCTTGCTCACACCACACAATGTACTGCTCTTGGGAACTTACTTGCTGGATGCGAGAATTTCCACAGTGGCTATGGTGCCCAGTGTTCCAATGTTGAAAAAGAGTGACACTCGCTCCCACCATTTACCCATGAGGCCTCCCAGCACCTCGTGAAGCTATGTAGAAGAGCAAAGAGATGGAATTGTCCATCCATATAATAGAGAATCTTGGGACGAGATCACCTGAATAGTGTGATTGTCAAATCGATGCGGGTCTCGTTTCTGGGCGACTTTCTTGTATTCCAAGTAGAGAAGATTCGTGGTGTAGCCACTCCACCATCCAATGCAAAGATGTACAAATTGAACCACAATTGCAGAAGGCAGGCCTGCTTGTGCCCACGAGTGAGGAATCGTAAGAAGCAACTCTGCAATCTTTTAAGGAATCCCACCATGAGAATTAAAAAAAGTAATATGAATCACATACCTTTGTGGAGCAAATGTTAAGCCAGGCATCAAATGTTGAGCCTCCATCCCAGAGGAGATTCCCCAGCCTCCCGCATTCCATCGCCATGTCCAAATGTGGTCACGGTCATAAACTTAGTTATTCCATTTTAGTTTTCTCTTTTCAAGAATTTTTAATGGGAAGATACTCATAAAATATGATAATAGTTTTAATATATAATATTGTGATGGCCAAGTGTATGGCTATGATGCCATATACTAATATTAGTATAGTGGGAAGTCAAATTGATTTTAATTTGGACTATTTGTTCTTGTATATAAGTTAAAGTTTTTAGGCTAATTGATATGCATATTTTCTATATTCCCTTTCTATATTCCAAGCACTTACATTAGTGGAGGTTAAAGGCATTTTTCTTTGTCCCTGAGGAGTGTTTGGATTTGGGATTTTAGTTTAAATATAACTTTTGCATCGTTTCAATCTAATTTTTTCCATTCCTTTTTTTTTGTTTTTCCCTTTCAGAATTTCGGTTTAGATCTAGCTTTTCCATTGTCTAAATCTCCTTTTCTTTCCAGTTCTTTCTCATTTCCCTTCTTTTGCTCTTTCCTTTTCATTCATCTTCATGGTAAAGTAGTAGTCTCCTTTTCTGACTCTGGAGTAGCAGTTGGTGCAATTACTTGATGCTATGTGATTGCAATTGAACAACCAAACTCAATTGATAGCAGCATTCACAGCATGTGGTACAACTCCTCCTGCTTTTGGTGCCAATCCTTGCATTCGGCCGGAGTTCTTTCATGGGAATCCTAGGGATGATGTGTCCCATTGGTTTGATCACTTCACAGTGATTGCTATATATCATTCTTGGGATGATGCTCATCATTTGCGTGAGTTTTTTACATGTCTCCAAGGGACAGCGCTGCAGTGGTATAATGGTTTGAGCATAGCCACTCGTGGGGATTGGAGTGTTCTTCTGGACGTCTTCAAACACGCATTCAGACATGCTGACGATTGTGATGATGCTTTCCAGCAATTGCATCATCTTCGTCAAAAGCCATTTGAGTTGATGATGCAATTTGGCGTTTGTTTCCAAAGCTTCTTGCTTCGTATGGAGCCAAATATGTTGGAGCGGATCAAACTTGGAATGTTATGGCCAGCACTTCCTCAAGATCTTGTTAGACTTGTGCATGCATTTACTCCAGCCACCTGTGAGACACAAAATCTCTAGGCCCCAAAGTGGAGCCGAAAGGGTGCCACGTGGTAGTGGCCGAAGCAAAAGCCAAACGAGTGTAACACGTTTAGACTAAAAGGCTCTGACTTGAGAGGTTGAGAGCGGGAGTGGAACTCCCAACGGAGTGCTCAAAGAACGAGCATGAAGTGAGCAATAAGCGAGGCTCCAAAAAGGGACCCAAAAGGACCAACATATGACACGTGGAAGTGTCCGAGGTGGACCCGAAGTGGAGCCCGAGATGGACCCGATATGGAGTCTGAGATGGAGTCCGAGATGGACCCAAAGTGGAGTCCGATATGGAGTCCGAAGTGGAGTCCGAGATGGAGTCCGATATGGAGTCCGAGATGGAGTCCGATATGGAGTCCGAGATGGACCCGAAGTGGAGTTCGATATGGAGTCCGAGATGGAGTCTGAGATGGACCCGAAGTGGAGTCCGAAATGGAGTCCGAGATGGAGTCCGATATGGAGTCCGAGATGGAGTCCGAGATGGAGTCCGAGATGGACCTGAGATGGAGTCCGAGATGGACCCGAGATGGAGTCCGAGATGGACCCGAGGTGGAGTCCGAGATGGAGTCCGAGATGGACCCGAGATGGAGTCCGAGATGGAACCGAGACCGGGATCGAGACTGGGACCGAGACCGAGACCGAGACCGAGTCCGAGTCCGAATCTGGGACCGAGACCGAGTCCGAGTCCGAGTCCGAGTCCGAGTCCGAGTCCGAATACTAATACAGGCAGTTGGGTGAAAGCCCAAAGCGATCGTCCCCCAGGGGGGGGGCTGCGGGGGGTTCCAAAAGTATAATAGGGAGAGTGGGGTTGGAGCCCCGTGGAGCCAGTTTGGCCAGGAAATGCTAGTTTGGCCCAGAAAAGGCTAGTTTGGCCCAGGAAGGCCAGACCCAGTGTTGGGTGATGAACTGACCACTGGGAAGTCCAAGACTAGAGTGAATACGGACCGACAAGCGGGGTAGCTTGGTGAAGTGTTCAAGAGCCGGCTCTAGTTCCCTCAGGAGATCGTTTGGCCGATGCTCCCAATCCAAGTGTGGGTGGCACTACCTACTTGGATACCTGGTGTGGCTCAATGGAACCTCGCTCTAAGCCCATGGCTAGAGCACCTAAAGGCGAAAGGCAGGGAGAGTACCCACGAGGCCCGCGTAGGGCCACGGTGTTCCGAAATGTCGTCCCAAAGTCCCAGACTGTGGAAAGGAAGAGGAGCAGTCCTCTGGTGTGGTGACCAAAGACACGGTCACACAGGGAGGAAGTCCTAGAGGACAGTGGGACTTAGTGGTCGGGCCCGTTGGCCTTGATCCAGTGGCAGTGTTGGCGAGCACGGCCAAGGATGAAAAGGGACTTGGTGGGGACTGGAACGGAGATATTGGGGAAGGCTAATCCCCATGTCTGTGGGCATCTTAAGGATGCTAAGGAGTGGATTTGGGATGATCACTCATGGATGGATGGCCCAATCTTTGAGTGACGGGACTGGGATGCAGGTGGTGTCAGACCATCATTGTCACCAAGGTGAATGGACATGGCCTTAGCGTAACAGGTTGATATGTTGGTGGTACCTTGGGGTGTCGGTCATGGGATCAGACATGTGGAGCACTTGGATCAAGTGCAAAGGTTGAGTGGCGGGGATGCCATTCTCGGGGCTAGCAAGCCCAAGTTTGAAATAGGACTTATGGAGGTTGTGAGTGAGACTCCTCCAAGTGATTGGAGGTGTGGTTAAGTGACTAAAGTAGAATGGAAAATTTAGTCGCTTACAACTTGGTATCGGAGCTGTTCCTTAGTCCGACTTTTATTGGTGCTCAAGTATATCACCATTAGTGTTTGCATCGGAAGGTCCGAGGAGTGGGCTTATCCTTGAGGAGTAGCAAGTCGGGAAGACATGGCTCTCCATTACAGTTCATGTGTGAACTTGTAGGTGAGGTGGTGGATAGAAAAGGGCCAATAATGGAACGACTTTGGGATCTTGGGAACAGTATAAGGGTTTCCTCAGAGAGCTGAGGATGTGATCCAGATGAGCGTTTGACGCAGCAAACGAGCTAATGTAGTTGTGGTAAACAACTATAGTTG